CCGTGTTCTGCAAAAAGCGTGCCCCGCACGAACACGCACGCAAAGGCACGAATGAAGGAAAAAGGTGTGTATAGTATTTGGTTGGGTCTCTGCCCGTCAAGGTGGAGGAAAAGAGAAGAGAGAGGCAACAAGATGGCAGGCCAGGGTTGCGGAGAGCGGAGAGCATCGGGAGGGCGCGCGGCCAGCCGCAACCCGCGCGGCCATGGAGGGGGCCCGCGAGAGCACGCCGCAGCCTTTCACTGGCGCTCTCTCTAAGCCTCCTTTGCAGCCTCCTGGGCGTCCTTCTTGATTTCCTGCTGCTCCTTCTTCTCCTCTTCATGGTGCTTCTCCTCCGTCGCCGCCGGCGCCTCGGTCTGCGCCTCCTTCTTCTCCTCGGCAGCGGCAGCAGCAGGCTTGCTCGACGAGGCCGCGGCCTCCGACGTCGCTCCGCCAGCGGCGGGAGGCGCATCGGCCTCGGACACGGCGCCGCCCTTGGCCTTTGCGTTGGTGGCTTGTGCCTCTTCGAAGGACGTCTTGAACTGCTGTGCGTCTGGGAGAGCGAGGCTGCCATCAGCAATTGCAAGAAAAACGGCAGGCCCCCAATGGCTGCTGCGGCCCGACCCGCTCTTCCAGCCGCCTCGATGGTCGTGACGAGCTGCCCCCGAACCGACAGAGCTGCGCGTCGCGCACATCGTCGCCGAGCCCGAGTTGCATACTCTCTCTGCTTCCCTCCTACTTCCTCCCTGTCCTACACTCTCGACCCTCTTGCCCCCCCCCCCCCCCCCCCCCCCCCCCCCCCCGGCCGCATCTGCCCTAGAGACGTGTCGAAGAAACACTCACTGTCCGAGTTGGCAAAGCGAATGGCAAGCGTCTCGGCCGTCGGCTCGCCATCGGCCACATCTGCCGCCACGTTGTACACCCACGAACGATCCGAGCCCACGTTGGGCGAGAGCTTCATGTCCGACGTGACTGTGCGGGCGCGAGCACGGGGAGAGAAACAAGGTCAGCTTAGAGCCGCGTTTCAAGAAATAAACTGGGAGAGAAGCAGCTGTCCCCCATTGCGACGCGCACAAGCGAGCACCTTGCGCAAGGCGCGAGTCTCGCAAGCAAACGAGGGCTGACCTGGGTGCGCGAGCCCCACACGCGCCCGCATGTAGCTAACAGCTGCCTGCGGCTTGCCTCGTTCTTCTCTGAATCTTCCCCTCCCCCCCCCCTCTTGGCCCTACCGAGCCCTCTGCTGCTCCTCCGCCCTCCCAAGTTTCTCTTTCTTTCACCACCTTTCTCGCGTTCCACGAAGCACTCACCATAGTGGTTCGCGCACACCTTGAGCGTCTTGTCACGACGCATGACGAGGCGCACCTTGGAGCTCTGCTTGTGCGCCAGCAGACGCACATCGCCCGTGCCGCGCTCCTTCCACTCCTTTGCCTCCTTGTCGAAGCGGAAGAGCTTTGCGCGCCTGCGCCAAGGTCGAGGTGGGGGGTGAGAAAGAGGGGAGGAGAAGAGAATAAGGGGGGCAAGCATGTGCAGCGGCAACCCGCCTCCGCTTCGAGTCCCACCCTTGATGATGGAGACGACGACTGGAGAGAGCTGCGAGAGGCACCAACGAAAGAGAAGCTGGGCCACAGCGAGCTGTTCCTGCTTCTCTTCGAGTCTGCAAAGCGACTTGTCGGCTCGGAGAGAAGCAGCTCTGCTAGGTCATTGCTCCACCTCACCACGCCCAGTCCTGCTGCCGCTTCTTGGACATTTCCCCTTCCCCCCGCCCCCTTGGCGTCACCTTGCCGTCCTCGTTTCCCGGCCTTCTGCGCGGGTAACGGGGCGCAAGGGACGCCGCACTTGCGCGCAACAATGGGCGACTCACATCTTGAACAGCACCTCCTCGTCCTCCTCGTGCGTCTTGGTCTCGACCTGCGTGTCGAGCTTGTGCACGGGCTCAAACTGCGGGTCGGGCTCGCCGCCTTCTTCTGTGGCGCCCTGCGAGTATGTGCGCATCACCAGCGTCAGTAGGGCAAGGCGGGCGCAACAAGGAAGTCAGGGGTAGACCATGGTCTCCAAGTCGGTGGCTCTGGCCAGCGCGCTGCAGAAGCAGAGGAGCAGGGGTGCTACTGCCGCATAGCCTGCCCTGCTTGACTGCTCGCCCAACTGCTCAGAGGCCACTGCCTTGCCATGGCGAGACAGCCAAGCAGTGCAGGCACTGTGAGGCTCACGCCCAGGGGGCACGGCGTTGCGTTGCGGGGCGTGCGCGCCCAGGCAGCGTGCGAGGCGACAGAGGCTCCCTGCAGCCCTCTGCTCTTCCCTTGGGCCCGCGGCGCAGGCGGGCAGCACTGGCAGGTGCGGTGCAGCGGGGAGCGAGAGGAGGCAGACGCACCGTGCCGGCAAGCGGGTCGTTGGATGCGTCGGCTGCAGACATGGTGTGTGTGTGATGCGTGAGTGAGGGGTGGGGGTGGTGGAGGAGCAGAGGGGCGCCGCGACCGCTCGCCTCGTCCGCGTCCAGGTCAGCAGCGCTGCTGAAGTGAGCGCCTTCGACGCCGCCGCCGCCACGGCCGCGCCACCAAGCCGTGCGCTGTCATTTCCCAGACGCAGCCTGCCTCGCCTGCCGCTGGCGTGTGCATCGCACGTGACCTCGCCCTCTCGCGCGCCTCCGCTGCTGCTGCCGCGCGACGCCCGTGCACGCCGCGCGCGCCGCGCTTCTCGCATCCATCCATCCGTCCACCTAGCCTCTCCCATCTCCTCGCTCTCTCGCGCGCCCTCAGCAAATGGCGCGCCGCATCTCGCTGCTCGGCCTGCTCGGCGCCCTGCTCGCGCTCGCCGTGTGCGCGGCGACGGCGCACATGATCGAGCTGCAGCCCAGTGCAAAGGAGTGCTTCTTTGAAGACCTCAACCCCGGCGATCAGGTGCGTGTGGGCTGCACGTGCGAGGCGCGGCAGAGCGGAGCGTGCATGTGCACGAGTTGATGGCCAGAGAGAGAGAGGGGGGCAGCAAGAAACATGGCGCAGCGTCCGTCCGTGTGCGGCGGCATGGTGCCGAACGGAGGCACCAGCGGGAGAGACGGCGCCTTTCGCTTGCGTGCCAGCGCAGCTTGAATCATAGGAGCTCGGGGCAACGTACAGGAAGCAAGAGGCAGAGCACATGAACGGCACTGGGCACGGCCAACGAAGCGAGGGCGTGCGCGCTTTGCGGACGCTCCCCCTCGTCCAGACTGTGCTGTCCTGGCTGCCAGTTGGACAACGGTCAGAACAAGGCCAAGCCAAGGCCAAGCCAAGGCCAAGCCAAGGCCGTAGCTCGAGTGAGACGAGCGCGGCAGCTGCAAGAGCCTGTCGACGGCTTGCCTCTGCAATTCGAGCAGCTGCGATGCTTGCGCGCATACCTGCCCCTCGCGCATTCAGGCGGGCCTCCTTGCTCCGCCTTCGCTCCCTTCTCGTCGCTTGACCAGCCCGGCCTCTTTTCTCCACTCTTGCTTACTCCCTCGGCTTCCTCTCAGATGACGCTGACCTTCCAAGTAGGCGGCGGCGGCCATCTCGACGTCGATGCCTGGCTTGATGATCCTCTCTCTGCGCGCCTCTTCGAGCTGCACCACAAGGACACAGGCACGTACTCCTTCACTGCCTCACAAGCCGGCAAGTACACGTACTGCTTCAGCAATGAGTTTAGCACCGTGTCCGACAAGACTGTTTCGTGAGTGCTCTCGCCTCCCCTCAACCCCCCCCCCCCCCCTCTGTCAGGTGCGAGAGAGGAGGCTGACAGAGAAAGCAGCTTCAACGTGCACGGCATCATCTACGTGCCCGACGATGGCGAGATGCTGCCCATTGAGCGAGAAATCAGAGATTTGGCAGCGAGTCTGCAGGCCATCAAGGATGAACAGGAATACCTCGTCATTCGCGAGAGGGTGCATCGCAACAGTGAGTTGTGCTCCTGCGCTCTCCCCTACGCTGCCGCTCGTGACCCCCCGGCAGAGAGTGTGGGCGACTGGGACGCTGACACCTTGTGGGGGGTGGGGTGGCACAGCTGCCGAATCGACCAATTCGCGCGTCAAGTGGTGGAGCATTCTGCAGGGCTTCATGCTCGTTGGCGTCTGCTCGTTGCAAGTCTACTTCGTCAAGCGGTGCGTTGAATCCCCCACTCGCCCACCCACCGCACCAATGCGCGCCATGCAAAGTCATGGCTGTCCACGCCCCTTGCTGACGATGTCGCCGATCTGACAGGCAATTCGAGGTGCGAGGCTCGAATCGCTCGGCCTTCTGAGGCTGCGGCGGTGCATACATCAAGGCGTTGCTCACACGCCCGCGTGTGTATCTTCACGTCCCTCACGCGAGGCCCCTGTATTCTTCTCACGACTCCCACTTCTCTCTTGGCCCTCATCACGAAAAATATGCCACGAGTGTCAGACCATGAACATCCTCAGCCCGGCCGGGCAGTCTGTGAAGCGGGATGCACGTTCTCGAGATGCAACAGAGTGAGGCAAGGGTGGAAGGCGATAGAAGTACAGCGAAAGATGGCAGGCTCGTGAGGTGGACGTTGAGGAAAGTAGGTGGCGTGACAGAGCGCAGAGACGCGTGATAGGGACATCCG